CTTGCATGAGGAAGTGCTGATTAGCACATGTTCATTTTAGTTCTCATTTAACATATTTACAAGGTATAATTCAAAAACTAAAAGATAAGGAGAGGAATTAATTGAGTGTACAGAAGAAAGATCAAAAGAAGCTTAAAGAGGACTGAGAAAGAGGTAAAAGGAAGGAAAGAAAACAAAGAACCAAAACCAAAGTAGAATTAATTCAGAAAGACTTTAACTTGCAAGTAGTGGAGTGGTACATTTGTCATGCTGCCTCATACACAGCATTATCAAATCTTTATTTAGAGGCCTCAAATTTTCACTTCAAGTTGCTGTTAAGAAAACAACTTCTAAAAAGCGGAAGATGCTTACTGTGTGCTAGGTCCCTACACTGATAGGAACAAGACTCATACACAACAAAAGTGTCATTATGTCCAATTTCACTAAACAAGGCTGAGCAAGTCAGATTCCTACTTCATTCACATGTACTTCAAAATAAAACTGTCGCGTTTTGCCCATGCTTGCTTTCTAAATCTCTTCCTTCTGAGATCTCCTTCTGGCACACCTTTCTCAGAATTTTCTTATGCTCAACAACTCCTCGTCAGTCTTTACAGACTGTGGCAGACAAGTATCCCATGCAGATGTGAGTACACATGGATATGTAGTTTGGTGCGAAATGCTGTGACTCTACACTTGTGTGCACACTCAGCACACAAGTGTAGAGCAGCAGCAGCAGCAGAGAGCCCTGCCAAGGGCCAGCCATTCCACTCGCCTGATCCGAGTGTCCGCATTAAGCTCCAAAGGGAAATTTAAGCAACATCCGTCAGTTAGAGGAATGCAATCAGCAGACAAGAGGTGCTGAACAGCACAGGAGACTAATAATACACTGGCACAGAAGGGAGCTTTTTGGGATACAAGCTGGGAAGCAGCAGAATAGGCTAGCATCTGCCAAGCTGCACAAACTCATTGTTTCAGATAGTATCTGCTAACTGTACTGGAGCTCTGAAACAGTACTGAAAAGGTTTTTGATTCTGCTGCACAAAAATAAAAAAAAATAAACAATGATCACAACTCTGCAACCCGGAGGTCAAGCACACGTTATTGGATGGAAGAGGAAGATGAGAACACAAGGAGATTGTTGTTAGCATGACAGGGTCTCACCAGCAGATGTAATTGTTGCCCAGACTTTGTGAGCATTAAGGCGATGATAGTAAGGCGGAGTTTGATGAGGGATAATGAGACAGTTCACTGTTTTGTATTTTCACAATCAGGAGAAGTCAAGCATAAACAGGGAGGTCAACTGTCAGTTTTAAATGAGGCAGAAGGATGATTAAGAGGCAGAAGACCTTTACCTGCAAATGCAAATTTAAGGAGACCTTTAGAAAGCTTTTCTTAGAGCAAGTCTTACTCCGTTACATATTTGGTAGGCTTTTGTTTTTTACCATTGCAAAGGCTTCGTGGTTGTGGAAAATGGAGTAAAAAAAAACTTACCCCAAAACAGACAACAGCTCTTAGTTCTATTAACACAACAAGCAATAAATGAGCTGATTTTTCCAAAGGTAGCAGAACCAGTGTTTTGACCTTTACAGCTCTTTATTCAGGCGAGGATGGGAGCACCAGGGAATGCTACCCTCCAGTGTAAGCTGCGATGCTGTCTCGCTCCCTTCAAAACAGATGCCATCATCATGCTCTGGTAGCACTCAGCCTTAACACTCCTGTCTTACACCCAAGAAACAGTACATGATAATTCCCTCGGCTCCCCAGTGAATGGCGTCCTTAGGAGGTTACAAGCACCCCAAGGAGCTCCCACAGCTCTGTAATGAGTCTTACAACACACACCAAGAAGTGGGAGTCCTAATGAGAACAAAACCAAAGCAAAGGCTGGTATCTACACTCGTGACCAAACACAGTATTTCCTTTTCACAATGGCATCATTCCACTCTAGATGGAGAAAAACCTTTCAGGTATTCACACATACACCCTGAAAGCACTCAGTATGTGATACAGACGTTGAATCTTTTCTCATAAACATTCCTTAAAAAAACTTACAAGATACAGTTTTCACTAAACACGGTCACAGAAACACAAAAGTAATTTTGTTTATTCTGATTTTATCTCTATCACTACATGAGGGCTGTCATCTTTATTCTTGATTTCTATCTTCAAGAAGTTTTTAAAACAATTAAACACCCTTAGGCTACAACTTTAAACATGAAGGTCAAAGTGCAAACAAGACTTTTTATTAAAACAGTCCAATTAGTCAGTTGATTCATCTAAGCTGCATATAAATGTGGTGCCACTTTCTAACAACTAGGTACCTGAGGGGAAAAATGGAAAACAATTGCACTGCCCTCTGCACTAGCCTATCTACAGCACAGCTCAAGTAAGCTACCGACTGAGGTACAGTTTTGTGTTTGCACAAGAGCAGACTAGCTACAAGTACCCGGTCCATTAACTCACTCCTAAATGCTATGTTACATAAAAATATATAACCACATAACACAGCAGAACAAAGTTGTCACACCTGAGTTTATTAGCATTTGCTAAAATGAAGAGGTAGACAATGAACCAGGTTACCTGACCTTCTCAGAATATCCACAGACATTTCTAATACAGCTCTCAGCTCCTTACCAAAATAATGTCTGCAATGATAGTGCTCTTAAAATGCTGCCTCTTGCCACACTGGGGCATGGTAGAAGAGAACTGTGAATTTCCTTTGACACTATGCTCCACTGTTTATTGACCATAAACACTTTGTTCAGTAGGGTCCCCAGGCCAAAGGAAGAACAAGGCTCCCAGAGTCCAGCCTCACCATGCATCTGAGATTACCAAGTGATCAGCTGTGGGTGCTGCAGGGGCTGGTTGTACTCGGTCATTTCCTCCACACACTCCTGGTACTTTCCTCACACTAAGCAGAGCTTGTTGGGCCTAACTGTGAAAGAGCTGAAGCTCTGCTGAGAAAACCAATCACCCTCAAAAACTGAATGGAAGAAGAGTTTTCTCCGGGGTAAACTTTTTGAACTCAGCTGGCCAGTAACAACACAAGGCAGGCAGCAGAAATAGGAGCCTGGAATACAGGGAAGGAAGCTGAACCAGCTTGCTAGTAGATCAGCCTTAACTATCTTGTGAAAGCTCACCCTGAGAAAGCAAGGACAACTAAAATCTAACACCCATTGAAAAACGAGCACCATCTCTTAAAGATTAATGAGAAAACTCTTGAGCTAAGTCTCAGAGCAACAGGAAGACTGTCGATATTCCTGGACTCAAGACTGTGAGGCTCTTTTGTCAGCATAACTTTAGCCATACTAGACATGCGGGAACACAAACGTCAGACAAGGACAGATAAAAGTATATTTAAACTTTCTGAGTCCACACCACTCTAGGTGCAAAACTCTGTGGTTCAGACTACACATACTTTCATTAAACAGATTTTAGAAGCCAAGCCCCTGCTCACTCATGGAAGCAGCTTCTGGGCGCTGATGCTTGCCCTGTTGTTACCTGAAGTATAAAAGGGGTTCATTTAAAGAAGAACTGACTTTAGGACAGAAGTTCTCTCAGAGTGCACACATTGAGAAGAGTGAACAGCATTCTCCTCTGGCAAAGAGCATCTACGAACAGCTGCTATTATCTGAATGAAGTTTTCTCACAAATGCCTTTGCTGTTCAAAAAGCAAACATGAGATAGAGGTCAATGGCCAAGTCCCCACATTGCTTGTATCCTACTCTGCTCTTCCAACTTCCCTGCAGCTGCATCTTGAACACTTTCAAGTGACCAATGCTGGACTTCACCAACACCACGGACAAGGACAGCTTCTAGTACAGCACATGTCAAGCTGCTCCCTGTCTCCTGGGGAACTGATGAACAGAAGAGGCAGCCTTTGCCCCTTGCAGAGTGCTGTCAGGCTGTGTCACAGATGAGCGAAAGTTTACAAGGCAGCACACCCAAGACCTGTGACTAAAGTTACGGTCCTCGGGCACAAAGCACCTGTAACAAAGTTCAAGTCATGACCCGAGCGATCATCCTAAACCTTGTTCAGAAGGCAGGCTGACTCGTACCAAAAGCCCAGGAAACTCCGGGATAAAGCAGGGCTCGGCAGGTCCCTTTCTCGCAGGGATACAGGAGGAACGCGGTGACAGTGCTGCCACTGCAGAGCGGCCCGCCCACCCCCGCTCCTGCTTCCCTCACTTTCCTCCCAAAAACTGAGTCTGAGTTCGAGCAGGCAGTGCCTTGGACTCGAGGCATAGACATGCTTTACTCAGACTCATCGAGAGAGCATAAACAAACTCCGGAGCAGGAGCGAGCGCTGCCGAGCATCGCCGTCCCGGGAATACGCCTCCCGAGGGGCTGCCCGGGCAACCGAGCGGTGCCAGGCGGAAACGCTCAAAGTTGTTCTGGCGTTTCAGACCCGCGGTACCAGCGGGGCAGCCGTGCTGCGCAACGAACTGCGGCGGGCGGTGCATGTGCGCGAGGTAAACAAAGCCCCACCGGGCGGCCGCAACGTCCCCTCCCGCCGGGCCACCGCGGCCGGGCCCGCTCCGGGCAGCACGGCCCGACCCGCGCCGCACCGGAACGGCACCTGAGCCCGCCACAGGGGGCGGCGGAGGCCGCGGCGGAGGCCGCGCTCGCAGGGCTCTCACCCACCTCGTCGCCCCACTTGAGCACGTCCTTGTGGCGGTCGCGCAGGGCGCGGTAGATGTGGAGGAACTGGAGGATGCCGTGCCGCCGCACGTGCTCCGCGTACCGCCGCGTCTCCTCCCAGCTGAGCGGCGAGCCCTGCGACAGCAGCCCCATGCCGGCTAGCAGGGAGGGAAGGAGAGAGGCCGAGGACGCGAGCGGAGCGGAGCGGGTGCGCCCGTGCGCGGTGCGCTCGGTGCCGCGGGTGCGCTCGGCGCCGCGGCGGCGGGACCGAGCCCGGCGCCGCACGTGACGGCGGCCGCGCGTCAGGGCCGTGACTCAGCACTTTCCGCCGGCAGGCGCCGCCCCCGCCGTGCCGGGCGCGGGGCTGAGCGCGGCCTGGCGGCCCCCGGGCGCTCTCGGCGCGGAGCCGCCGGGCAACGAACGGGAGCGAGTCCGGGGAGGCAGGCCCGGTCACCGGCAGCGACCGTGAGCGCCGCTGCTCCGAAAGGCCGGCCCTCTCCCCGGACACAGGGGCGGAGGCGCCACTCGCCCGCACCAGGCGACATGGCGGCGGAAGGGTGTCCCCCGGCAGGACGGAGCGCGTCTGGCCGGCCTGGTGCTCCGGGGGGAAAGGGACCCTTGTGGGCCTGAGAGTGCCAGAATAATGGTTCTGACTGAAAGGCCCCAAAGCGCGGACAGTGTGAGAACGCTTCTGTGTATTTTACAGATCAGAGCACGGGGAAAACTCGGAGTGATGCTCGGAGTGGGTGGAGTGCAGTCCACAGAGGGCGTCCCTCATCCCCCGTGGATTCTGCTCTGCATCTCTCCGGCTGCGGAACTCTCGTGCTGTGGTGCCGAGCAGTAAGCCCAGCCCGTGAAGATGCTGAAAATGAGTTTGTAACCCGGGGGTTGTTCTGGAGGGAATTGCAACAGCATTGTGTCAGGAAAGAGGATGCGGGGGCGTGTCAAAGCGTGTATTTTACAGTCCATAAAAAGTAGAAGGAAGGCTTATTAGTGTTAAATTCTTACTAAATGAACAGACCGAAAGCTGAACGTTAACATGAAGGGAAAGTTTCTCACTGCTGAGAAGCAGAAATTCATTACTCCTGGACCCTCATTGTTACATTTACAAAGCTCATCATCGGCCGCAGGGCTGGTACGTGATAATCCAATGCTTTGAGAATTAGTAAGGTATTTAAATTGTGATATAGCCCACTGATGGATGAACTGTATTATTAGCTATTTCATTGACTGACTGACTATACTTACAAGAACTTTTGCCTTATTCCAGGATATGAGGTGCCTAAAGGATAGAATAAGCTCCCAAGATAATAGAATAACAAAACTGAAACACATTAGTGGAAGATACCAACTACTAAAGTAAAATGACTCAAAAGTGTTTTAATGGCATAAGTTTCTACACAAAAGGCAGCATTGACAAAACAAGGAGTAATAGTTAAAATAACAAACAATTTATAATGACCTTTTTTTAGGAGCTCATGATTTTTTAAAAAAAACCTCATGATTTTGACAGAAATTGTACAGGCTGGCCTGATTGAAAGCAGTGCTGTTGTTGGTACTATAGTAGATTTGGAGATGGCTGTTTGACTTAGTTTGGTGGACAAGAAAACAATCTTTTCTTCTAGCTAAAAAAATCCTGTAACCTTTTTTGTTTTTGAAACATCAAGAGTCCAAAAGTCTCACACTTGGCAATGGTAGAGTCTGATGAGGCATATCCCTCATGTGAAAGCCAAATTGTACTTTATTTCAGAACTAAGGGGACAAAGCCTTGCATGTTTGAGCGCAATTGCACCAAAATATCAAGATACCATATTTGTGCCATCATGCTGCCATCCAGCCTCAGCTTTTCCACAGCTTTGAGTTACAGCTGAAGCACCTCAGGAGTCCTGGCAGTGACAAGGAGCACCTGATAGCCAACAGCTGTGTCAGCCCCCTCTAGCTCTTGGGGCAGTGAGCCTGGGTCTGGAGCAAACCTTGTTGTATCAAATCAAAGTTAATGTTGTCATCTTACAAATCTGAGCCAAGGTGTCTATATTGTTTAGGGTCCATGCTCTCAGTTCACTTGGCTGACAGCAAGAGCCCTGTGTTACTGAGAAACTTTTCTGGAAGAATTGGGTATTTGGTATAATCCCAGCTGCTTTTGAGTGTGCTGGTGTATAATGCACTGTAAATGTTTCCAGCAACATACAAAAAATTTTGAAAATAAGATCAATTTTATTATATTGCAGGCTGCTATTGCACAGTCTGTACTCTTCAGCTGACCACTAATGCTACTCTTTGACCTGCAATTCAAGAGTACATTTTCAATGTCCTGTCTTTCTCAGTATTTAAACTCAGCTCATTTTTGTGTTCGTTTAGTGTCAATATCTGCTCTATTTCCAGTCCTGTGTGCTTAGTCTCATCAACTATTGAGCTAATACATTGTTTGGAACAGAAATCAAGGTATTTTCCTTTTGCACCAGTAAAACTGATAAAGATGTAAACTCTTTCCTCACACTGCAATCTCTAGCATAACAGCGTGACAAAGTCAGCTCTGTTTATGAAGTGTTCACCACCTTCAGCTGAAACCTTTTCCCTCCAGTTCTAGTGAACGTGTTCTGGCAGTGTGGGGTGATCCATAGTGGAGGACTAAGCCATTCTAAAGTTGACAGCATCACATGCAGAAATGTTCATTTGCGCATCACTTAAAATATGACTTCAAGACAAACCACCATTGTATAATATCTGCCCACATGCTTAATGTTGTATAATTATTTCCAGTACACTGAGTATCATGTATAATTACTTCAAATACACTTAAGAGGAAAAAAAGCTTCTCTGAACATACAGGCAGTAGTTTGGATGATGGTACTGGTTTACTCTGTACCCATATCCCCAGCCCCAAGGCTAACTACCTTTCCTGAATGGCTCAGAGGAAATAGTTGAGGGGAAAGGCTGTTGTACCTGTAATTTAGTAGGTTGATTGGAGGAGAATATGTGACTTGCAACTTGCACAGCAAGGAGCTGTTTGACACGTTCCTGTCATTCTCCACAGAGGATAAGTCACTTTTTGTTTTGTATAGCTGCAAAGCTATTCAAATCAGCTGCCACTAAATCTAAATAGAGTAGCTTGGCTCTTTGAGAATATACCCACTGGGAGAGATGAAAGATACGTAGACTCATAGGTGCGGCCACTCCTACAGAATCCTTTCTTTTGCTGGCTGTCATTAAAAGTAATAAGTAACGAGGAGACGTCTTGTGATGAGGCTGTTATTAGAAGGAAGAAAGAAAGATTTGTTTTACTTCATGAATCATCTGCAAAAAAATTTTAAAGCAACTTTGTTCAAGGTAATTTTTGAGCTGGCATTGCTGTATTTGGGTTATTCTCTGAGTAAAATGAAAAGACTTCAAATGAAACAGTCATCTTCCAAAGTTTTTAAATGGTATGTTTGGTAGAAATTGTATTTTTTTTTTACCAAATATTTTTATGCTTCCAGGTCTATAATTTATGATGGGCACTTGTGTCCAGTATAATTGACTCAGGTGAGCAGCAGATGCAGTATCTGCTTCCTTTGGAGTGAGGAGGCCTCTAGACATTTCCTGAGGCACTGGAGAGACCTGTGCTCAGTCAATTATTTCTTGATGCAGAAAGTCTTGCTGACTAGCAACTTGGATTAAATGATCTCTCTAGGGAGTGAAGGAAGTCAGGACACTGAAAATATTCAAGTGAAGCATCTTCTGATGTGTCTTCCAGTTAAAGTCTTGCTGCTATGCATTGAGGAATATGACTAATGGGGACTTATTCTGGTCTAACTAATAATACTTATTCCTCTCCAAGCCAACTTCTCAAGTAGTGTATGAGAGACATGGGTGTGGCTTGTCAGTACTGCTTTAAAATTTCTTTTTCTTGCTGTTGCCTGATGTAGAAATGACTGTAGTAGCATGAGTCTAAGTGGTGTATTTCTAGGAATTTTTTTGTGAATTTTTATTTATAACCATTGGTTTTGAGGGTTGGAGTTTTTTTCTTTAGTAAGGATGAATTGTGCATTTCATTCTATAAAGTTTCATGCATTTATGTAAAAAGTGAATATAATCACGTTGTTTCACCACTTTGGTCTTTATTAGCATGTTCCTTTTGCAAGGAACTTGAACTTCTCATTTTTGAGTAGCCCACATATTCTTTTGCTGTGTCTGTGGACAGGACACAATTATGGTGCCTTGTCTGACTTGGGCATACCTAATCACGCTGTCCATGAATGCTGCTGGCAGTAATAGCAGTTGTAGTGTGTGAATTACCCTGCACATTGCTGAGCTGCTCCCTCTCAGAGTGCTCTGGCATGGTGACTGATGCCCAGTGCATCCTGTTCACCTTTTGTCCTGCCACCACCAGTTCCCTTGGAAGTGCACTCTCCTACCAATTCAGCTGTCACTGTGTCCAAACCTGTCCTAAAGAGGCTCTTTGATGACATGCACAACATAGAAAGAATTCCAAAGAAAGCAAGAACTTCCAAATTGCTTTCCAGTTTATTTTCTTTCCAGCATCTTTTAAGATGAAGACCCTTTGTTATAGAATTATCTTTATATTCTTTTTCATAGGCTGACCTGTGGGTTTTTTTTTTTCTTAGTAGATACCTGTGTAAAATAAAAGAAGGCCAGGTGCTTGATAGCAAAGCTGATGGCTTCCTCCTCATCCTCTCTGCATGTCAAGTTGTTGTCTTTACTGCATCACTTCATTCACTGTGAGTATCACAAGCAGTGAAATTCTTCTTTAGATATCAGAAAAACAGTGGCTGAGTGCAAAGTCCTTCCAAAGACTCTGTCGATAATTAAGCTTTACAAAAGCCTGAATTGTGAGTGTGCATCTTAACAAAGCAACTGAGCTCCATGTTACTTGAATTCCCAGCACAGGCAGGAGTGTAGGTGTGTGCACTTTTTTTGCACACATGTATCCTCTTGAAGGACAACATGCCCAGAAGTCCTAATTCCATCATCAGCATCTCCTGAAAAGAATCCACAAACCCACAAATATTAGTTAAATGTGGATTGGAGCATTCAAAAGTTAGTTGAAAAGCAGAATAAATAAATAAATAATATTTTTCTCTTTAGCAACTATCTCATCTTTCCTGCCACACTCAAGCTGTAGCATATTTTTTATGTAAAGTTTAGCAGCTAAGAATAAAGTCCTGATCCTTAGTGGAAAAAATAGTAGAATTCCTAAGTAAGATGCATTAGTAGCAGTTTTTATATCTTTTTAAATATCAGTTTTCAGTCTCCAGTTTTTTTACAGGCTGGGAAATAAAAGCAGAGCCAGTGAGCTGCATTGCCAGGTAAGAGTTGGAACCCAAACCATGCTTCCCATTACCAAATTCCCCAAGGTTCCATTGTTCTAGTATTTGAGGGTTATAGAAAATAACTGCCTGGTTTCTCTCTCTGCCTGTAAATGATTATAGGCCTCACATTTCTAACCTCTCCTAATTCTGCCAGTAACAGCAATACAGCCTCCATGTGGTTACCCAGTTGTTCACATCTGTAACTTCTTTAATCTTTGTCCAAATTCCAGTTTCTGCCACAGAATGCATCAGGCAGCAAGATAAGACTCAGGGAAATGTAACCCTTGCCCCAAATAACCTGTCATGAACTGTAATGTTTTATCACAAGAACTGTACTTTGCACAGTTGTGTAAAAGAGCAATCATCTGCTTGCCAAACCTGCAGCTCTCCCACGCTCTGTGGTGCTGACAGCAGGATTCCCAGGTTTTGCCTGTGGGATTCCTGCTGCCTGCTGGTTCTTTCCAAAGCCATGGCTCTTGGGTAGCAGCACCAAGGCAGCATTGTTGGGTTTGTGCCCTGCACAAATCCATGCTTGGGACAAAGAGGTGGAGGAGGCTGCAAGGTTCCCTCAGTGCAGGCTGTGGGGGCATACAGCAGCAGAGCAAGAAGGAAGAACAGCAGATACAGCCAAAAAAATTCCATGCTTAAAATAATTCAGTCTAATGCTGGTTATAACCTCCCTTTTAGTGTATGTATATGTGCAGGTTTTAGTCATGTGGATCACCCCCTGAGAAACCTTTGTTCTTCTCAAATTTCTCATGACTCCAGTGTGCTTTAATCTTCTTTTTCATCATGTGTAATTCTGTGGCACTCCACCAAGGAAAAGGCTTTAACTATGTCATGAAAGAGTTGTTCAAAATCCCAAGTAGAAACCTGTGTATTACTACATGTAACAGAAGATTGAATTTATTAATAAGCCTAAACATGTTCCAGGCATCTTGAGTGAAAAATGCTGTTAGCTAGCTCAGCAAATATTAGTGGGGCTGAACTGCCAATTTGCAAATAGACTGGCTATATCAAGAAAGATAACATTGGCCTTCCATTTAATAGTTCAGGTATTTGAATAATTTTACATTCCATTTTTATCTTTCTTTGGCAGCTTGTATTTCTGGAGAGAGCTTCAGGTACTGAGAAATGGGTGGAATATAAGCTGAATAGGTCTGCATTTTCCCAGTGAGAAACTGAGTTATGTGAGGGAACAGCTCCTGGCTGCTGTCTCCCTGCTGCTTCCACATGGTGCATAAACAGCACTATTGGAGGTAACTATAGATCATGGGCTGCAGGGTCTTTGGTGGTCTCACCACACTTGTTTCTCAGCCTTTGTTGCTGAAAGATTCAGTCCTAAATGACCCAGGAAGTTGTTGAGAGATAAGGGATAGATTCTCAGAGACAAAGATGCTACAACCAAACAGGCATGTGCTGCTCTCAAGGGATGGCTAAGTGCTTTGGAAACACCTCAGTAGATACTACTGGGCATTTTAGGCCTCTAAACATACTTAAAAGGTAGCTTTCTCTTGGAGTGCTTTTTGTTCACCTTATCACATTATTGCTCAATCCTTTGAGCCAGGCTGTATAATTACTGTCAGGCTGCAGATGGCTATTAGGAGAAGCCTGCAGGACACATAACAAAGAATTAAAGTGTCTGCAGCAAAGCTCCACAGGTAAAGTTACACGTTTGGGCTTGAGATTTTCTGACAGCTCATTTCCACTTAAAGAGGTTCTGTGCCCTTCTCCCTGTCCTCCTTTTGCCTTGGCCTACATCCCCTTACATGCACTGGCTTGTGTTTTTTGACCCTGCACCAAGCCAGTTGTAATTACTGGAATTGGGAAGAATATTAAACTGGAAAAAAGATGAATCATTTGTGATAGCATATGGAATTGACTCAAAGCATGAATGTACTGATGAGCACAGAGATAATGCAAAGGATGTGACTGGATCTGGGTCTAGGGAAAGGAAGTGGAGGAAAATGAAGCAAGAGCTTTACAGCAATGGAAATGTGGTTAATGTTCTTTGTGGTGAAGTGCCATTACTCCTGAATAACAGATGGCCAAAGTCTGTTAATGCACAGTCCAGCATCATCCTGCATATATATGTTATCCTTGTCCTTATGGTTTTGCCTTTCACAGCGTGGATCTCAGTGGATAAAGCTGGGACTGCCATGTGGCAGATCAATGAGACACCAGCAA